CTTTTCCAAATCATCGCCTAATGCCCTTGAAAAAGTAGTCCCAACTGAATATGGCTTAAATTTACTCTACAAAAATGCACGAGTACAAAGCAACCAAAATATCCATGCTGGAAAAATGCTTCCATTTTAAGTTCACTGTAATAGAAAGACACACATAGACTGTATCCAAACTTCTTTGATCTTGCTTGAAAATGCATCTTTTCTCTCTTTGTTTTAGTCTTGTGTCCACAGGCATATTTGTTGAGCAAATTAAGCATTTTTTGAAAATGTTTTGTTTGAAGATGTTTTCTGAAGTGGAATATTTTAATAAAGCAAATTTCACTCTGTATTGTGCTGTGAAAATGAAGGCCCTCAAGAAAGAGGACATGATGAATCATGTGCTGGAGTCATATGACTCATTTAGCCTAAAGCAAGATGTTGTTGATTATTAGGTGTATCCCAATTGACACCCTTTACACCAGTGATCTCAATGACACCCCCTTGCCCCCGCCCTGCATATTTTGTATGTCTTCCTTTTTTAACACATCTGATTCAGATTATCAACCTACTAACACAGAAATCCATGAACTGATCCTAGTTTGTCAAACAAGACAAAAATACAAAATGTGCAGGAAAAGGGAGGCCTGAGGACCAGTATTGAGAACCACTGGTATACACTACAATGTGCTACAATATATGCACACAAGCCCTGCTCCCTATTTAATATACAAGTTCAACACTATTAATTTTGGCCTTTTCTTATTGAAAATTTTAGCATGAACACTTACAGTACTTGCCTTTATTCAGTCATTCATTTTCTTTTCGACTTAGTCCCTTTGTTAACCAGGGGCCAACTTATCAAGCATGTGTTTTTTTACGCAGCAGATGCCCTTCCAGCTGCAACCCATCACTGGTAAACATCCAAACACACTCATTCACACCCATACAGGCAATTTAGTGTACCCAATTCACCTATAGTGCATGTCTTTGGACTTGTGGGGGAAACCGGTGCACCAGGAGGAAACCCACGTGGACACGGGGAGAACATCCAAACTCCAAACAGAAATTCCAACAGACCCAGCCGAGGCTCGAACCAGCGACCTTCTTGCTGTGAGGCGACATCGCTACCCACTGCGCCACCCCTCATTGCACTTACACTAAGGCATATTTTGTGAGCACACAAATTGCAACACTAATGTAAGTTTGTATACTTCATTGTACGTCATTTATTCAGTCAACAATGTTTACCCACAGTTGTTGTTAAGTGATGTAATGCGAGGGCAGTTTTATTTATGAACTCTACAATGACGTAAGTGCTTTTACAAGTATCAGTGTGAATAAGCAACTTCCAGATGACATTTTCAAAGATATTCAGATTAGCATAGACAAACTCAAAATCTGAACTTCACAGCTTCTCAGCCATCGGTTTATGTTTCAAGTCTAGCCAGGTTTAGCAAGAGGAATGTGGCAGAAAAATTCCACTGGCCGCTGAACACATGGGCAAGGTATGCTAGTCCCACCAACCCCGCAAAAGACTGCTGAGCAGCCGGATTCCAGCAGGTTTTGGTGGATGTATTATTATATCAGAGCATTGAACTTTCACAACACAGACTCATGCACTATTGTCAAGAAAGCCTCTGCGCCATTCACATTTGATTGGCCGGATTGTGACCAAGCCGACAGGAATCCTTGGATAATATGAAGGGGATCACAGTGGAATGGCATCTCTTCAAGTAAATGAACATGATTAAAGGAGAAAGAATGAAATAAGAACTGAATGATGGGAAACAACGTCATTTGCAATTCATGCATGAATGGAATTAGCATGCATTTGTTCCTGTTCTATGTTTCCACTGGAACAAAGGAGGACATGCAGTATGTGATGATACTGTGTGTGGTAGTTTTCCAGTTAGCGAGGAGTGATACTGTAACTCATGTTTGTACTGTTGACAGGACATTGACTATGAGGCGGGACATATTTCATTTGTTGTCCTGCCATGAACTTCAAACATGTGACTATGGAATCAGTTCTTGACCTCTAGGCAATTCCCTCACCACACGCCTCTGTTTTCTGGCAAATAAAAGATGGTTCATTATGGCGTGACAGCCATAAAAGAAAACATAGTAACTTCTGGTTACAATTACCTATAAAACACAGTATGGCCTATGAAGACAGTAAGTAAAGGCTAGAATGAATGCAAACTTGGGTTAACCATGCATCCTCTGAGCTCGTAATATAAATAACCCACAGCTGTTTGCTTCTCTAAATACGCATTATCCAGCAATGAGTGCTCATTTACCACACACAAACACACTCCAATGACATCTGCTTCTTAGACAATTAAAGTTAAATGACACTAAACCCTGGTTAAGTATAAAGCAGCTCTTTTAATGAACAACATTTACGCAAAGCAATGCTTTACCAAGTGACATGATATCAAAATGAGGCATCAGGGTGCTTGGTTTGATTACAAGACAACTGTCAAAACAGTCCCTGTTTACTTAGACTAAAAATGCCGCATTAGGCATGCCAGACTATAGTTGATGATGTGATTTTGTAAAAAAAAAAAAAAAAAAAGAACACTAGAACTTTGTGCAGTCCTGTACTTTGCCGGTTGTTGTTTTGGCTGTCAAGTACTCACCTACAAAGAAAATAATCCCACTTTATATTAAATGACCTTAAGTACTGTACTTACAATTGAATTAATCATCTGGTATAATGCACATACATGTTTTAAAACTGTACTTATTTTAAAAATGATCTGCATGTAATTACATCTGTAATTAATTTCTTAAATTACCTTAATAATTTCAATGGTGACTATCCTAGACACCTTACCTATACTCCACCTCAGTAGCACCATAAATGTACAAGACAATTTAAACCAAGGCTGCACAATATAGTTACAGCATCAATATCGCAATGTGTGCATTCACAATAATCACATCGCATAGTTGCAATGTTGAGTTGGGATTAAATCTGAGCAAGAGCCACAGTTTAGAACAGAAGATTTGTGGAATTACTGCAGAGTTTAACCACAATGGAGTGAAATTGTATCATTTGCATGTTTTTAAGGCCTGAGAGAGATTTAAGTAGTCACCCAGCAGGCACAGGATGTTAACATGACGTCAGATTGACGTTGTACCCGAGCATCATGGGCATTTTGTTTGGAAATCAGGTTGACATCAGAACCCAACATCAGCCCGATGTCAATGTACAACATCAGACAGAACGTTTGGTCCCTTTCCAACGCAACATAAAAACAACCAGATATCAACATCTAATGATGTTACAGCCTGATGTTGTGTGGACGTTATCCCTATGACGTCTATCAGATGTTGGATTTAGGTTACCATACCTGAAGAATAAATGTCAGTATTTGACGTCAATATGACGCTGGTTTAAGATGTTGGCTTGACGTTGGATTTTGGCTACTTTCCAACACAACCTAAAATCAATCAAATATCAACGTCATTTCACATCTTTATTGGAATTCGAAGTTAAATTGTCCTTAGAACGCCGGTGACCTAAATCTAACCTTATATTAATGTCTTAAGACGTTTTGTGTCTGCTGGGCAGGCACAAGACATTTTACCAATTGGAAGTTTAGAAAAGAATATTTGTGTTGAATTATTTATACATCAAAAATGTTTACATTTACAAGTTTTAAAATTTACAAAACCTCAGCCAACTTAATATTTAAGTTCTTAATATCGAGTTTTTTAAGCAAAAGTCAGAGTTAATGGTTGTCCAATAGCAGGAAGTGAGCCTTAAAATAATAGGTGACTATAAATTCTTTCCAAGTAGTGCTATTCAATCATTTGGGACAATTGTATAGATGCATTATATCGCAATATATATATATATATATAAATATAAAATATCGCAATGTCAGATTTTTCCAATATCATGCAGCCCTAATTTAAACAATAAATCATTTTTCAAAAATCATGTTTTTATAATCAACATGGACAAAATAATGAACATGTTTTCAAAAACTGCCATTTTGAAAGTGGTTTTAAAATTTGCATTTTCAGTCTCTCACAAACATTGTTTTCATGTAACTTTTTTTGTTTTCATGTAACTATTGCAAAAATCCAGAATAGGTTTTCCATTCACTCCCTTTCAGCTCAGTGTCTCAACATTTGGTTCAACCATTGGCCAAAGGCAAGAATATTTGTTTAACAACAAATGGCAAATTGGACAAGAGGAATGTTTGGAGAACCTGTTTTTGCCGTTCTGGCCCATCGGATCTTGAGAAAACATCTATCTTACAAATGAACATTTCTCTATGACTTTGTGATTTGCAGAGGACTGTACAGTATTTTAGAAAAAAAGTAAGCATGAAGGTTTATTGTTATACTTAACTCCCAGATCAGTAAAACATCACAGAACATATACAATTTTTATTAGATCCTAGCTAAAAAAAATTAAGCATTGTGAATGGCAATGTTTCTAAGATGTTTAAATGTCCAATTTTCTTGTCGTGATTAGTGACCTTATTAGTGACCTTGTTTTTAAATGCACATGTTACGCAACTTCTAATCTCCATTGCTCACAATATTTAATTCTTGTTATGTTTAAAAACTTTCAAGAATGTTACCAATCTACAAAATAAAAAAACATTAAGAGTGATGAGAAAATTTTTACATTGTCTATCAAGAGAAAGTTGAGAGAAAGTTTATCAAGTTAAACATAAAGATGTACGAATGTTGTCCTAAGAACGTTCTCTCAGCATTATGAGAAAGCAGAACATTAACATCAATAATGTTAAGGTTACTTAAAAAAGTTTTATTCTACCATTTACATAACCATCATAAAACATTCCCTTAGCTATACAAAACCAAATGCTTGTAAAAAGTTGCTGTGTGTTAGTTCCTGGACTGAAATTACTCACTTCAACTTTTGTTTTGCTTTAATCCACTGCACGAGTAGCCTTTCACCTTTAAACCAACTGTAAACCATAATAGAGTAGGAATAATTTCATAAACACAAACTGTTAAACCATAAACACCAACAATAATGATAAAGCTCAGTTTTATGAAAGCATTTTTACACTGTATTTTTTATGGCAACCCTGCCAGTCAAACACTAAAACACCATTAAAGTTCACAAAAGGTATATCATCCTTAAAAGCATAAATATTTGAACCCTATTAAAACCACACCTTCTTTTTAAATCATGTTTGGCTTCAATAAACACATCAGATGCTGGATATAAAATCCAGTAACGTAATGGATTAGGTAACTTTATGACATAAGGTTTACTCAACAATTATCTAACAAACAACTGTTCCCATGAGCATGAAGACTTTAATTTTAGATTCAGCCAAGGAATAATCAAATATTACTCATACTGGTCCCAATATGCTTGGGCGTAGTTGTTCTCCTCGGGGTACAGATGATGCACAGGTTTGGAGCATCTCATCCCAGCGCTGCGGGTTTTAAGGGCACATTCATCACTGTGGGTTTTGCAGGTGCTGCAGTGGCAGCTAAGTGCCACTGGGTAGGTGAAGTGAGGATCTGCATGTGAAGGGCATCCCGGCAAGACGGCTGTCCGGTACTCAACTTCCTGATAAGTGCATCCCCTCTGAACAATAAAACGAGGACCCACCAACTCCTTTATGTTACTGTCCTGTGAAATGAATGTTTGGTGCATATTTAGCCATATTATGACTAAGTAATTCCGAAAGCATTTGATCTATAGCACTTTTGTTTTTCTGTGGAACCCAAAATGAAATGATACCCACTATTTTTTTATGCCTCATGATGCTTTGTATTGATTATGAAAGTAGTTTCTGATAAATTGTAAACAATCAGTGATAAGTGTAGGAAAATAGGGAAAAATAGGGAACAATGAGGTGTCATTATTCTCTTCACAGTTCATTAAATATTAAAAGGCAACTCGAAATCCCATAAAGAAATTTGATATATAAAAATATACACCAATTACATATGAGATATTTGGATTTCACATGTATAAACTGTCATACTGTATATGCAACTAATATTTCAATATATGCAAAAATGGCCATTTATCAACCATTAGAATGAACGTATGGTCACTCTTTACAACAAGGTTCCATTAGTTAATGTATTTACTAACATAACCTAATAATGAACAATACTTGTACAGCATTAATCAATCATAGTTCAACATGTACTAATGTATTATTACCATTCTAATTCATGCTTGTAAACATTAGTTATTGCACCATGAGTTTACATGAACTAACAATAAACAACTGTATTTTAACTAACATTAAGTAACATTAACAAATACTGTAATGAATGTATTGTTCATTGTTTGTTCTTGTTAGTAAATGCATTAACTAATACAACCTTATTGTAAAGCGTTACTGAAAATATAGATGAAGAAACAAACAAATAAATTATAGATAATATAGTTGAACACGGCGACGCAGTGGCGCAGTAGGTAGCGATGTCGCCTCACAGCAAGAACGTCATTGATTCGAGCCTCAGCTGGGTCAACTGGAATTTTTGTGTGGAGTTTGCATGTTCTCCCTGCTTTCACATGGGTTTCCTCCGGGTGCTCCGGTTTCCCCCACAGTCCAAGGACATGCGGTACAGGTGAATTGAGGTAGGCTAAATTGTCCGTAGTGTATGAGTGTGAATTAGTGTTTATGGATGCTTCCCAGACATTGCAGCTGGAATGGCATCCGTTGCGTAAACATGTGTTAGATAAGTTGGAGGTTCATTCCGCTGTGGCGACCCCGGATTAATAAAGGGACTAAGGCGAAAAGAAAATGAATGAATATTTGAACACATATGCACATATTTGTAATTCCAGTGGTTCAAACAAATATAAATGGCAATTTTTGCTATATTTTTAAATACCGTATACAGTATGTTGCATATATGAATTTTTTTATTTACTAGAACTTCTATGCTAAGTGTTTTGAGTTTCTACATTGTAAAAGTGCTATAGAAATAAACATGAATTGAAAATCAAAAACCATTGTCTAGACAAGCTAAGTGTCTTATTTTTAGAAATAATATGTCAAATTAAGTGAGTTTTTCCTAAAAACAAGATAAAAAATCATCCAATGGGTAAAGTAAAATGAACTAGTTTTTGTTTTATAATATCTTTAACTCTTAGGTACCTATTGAAACAGTACCACCCCACCGACAGCTTGTTTATACCTTTATTCCTGAGAGTGTACAATGGAAATACCATTACATCTGATTGTATTCTACAGAATAAGGGTGAGTAAACAATAACAGAATTATCTAGTGCGTAAATCAGCTTATCGCACTGCAAGAAGAAACTTGTGTGCTAATGGACCCAGTTGTCTATATATAGCGTCTTCTTCACATACACTAAGCTGTGTCCACTTACCCTGGAGAAACAGAAGCCCATGCAGATGGTGGTGTTGACAGCCACACAGTAATTGCACTCCTGTCTCTCAATGTAGATGGTGTAGTCAGTGGGGGCACACATAGGCACGGCAACCTTCATTAAAAGTCCCAGCATGCCAATAACATACAGGAGAGACATGATAGGTGGCAGTGTATGAGGATGTCTGTCTGTTTTTGGGAAACCACAGTGAATGTAATGACAAATTTACACAACTAGACACAGTAGCAACACAACTGAAAAGTCATCTTATATTACATTTAATATTTTTGGTAAACAGCCAAAGTTACTTGGCATAAACATGTTACACCTGCCGCCAATTTGATGTTTAGAGTTGTAAATAGGTATAAATGAGGGCTTTAGGCGTACTTGAGCCATTTATAACAAACCTGTGAGTTAAATAACAGCCTGTCACACAGCATGTTACAGCATAAGATCAAATGAGTATAATCAAAATAATTGTATTGTGAATAATAAATCTAAATACCTACAGCTGAATTCTAAATACCAAAATATTCATTTCAAAAACTTATTTTTATATGGTATCACAATCAAATGTGAAGTAATTAATGCCATTTTCTATTGATATGTTTTCCACAAACTTCTCTGTAGATTATATATATATATACAGTTGAAGTCAGAATTATTAGCCCCCCTTTGATTTTTTTTCTTTTTAAAATATTTCCCAAATTATGTTGAACAGAGCAAAGATATTTTCACAGTATGCCTGATAATATTTATTCTTCTAGAGAAAGTCTTATTTGTTTTATTTCGGCTAGAATAAAAGACATTTTTGGGACAAATTATAAGCCCCATTAATCTAATTTGTATTTTTTACTTTATTTTTTACTTTTAAGCGATAATCCAGTTTTGCGAATACGTTGAATTCACAACTTTGGATGGAAACATGGTTAATGAGTTAAAAAAAAATGTGTTAACATTTATATCAATAGACCAAAGAGAAGAGGTAAGTTTTGACTGATTTAAAGAAAAAAAATTTTTATGTGGATGAAGCTCTAATTTCTAAAGGTAATGTGTTCCAATGTTTTGGCGCATAGACAAAAAAAAGTCTGTCTCTTTGTTTTTGAGAAAGATTTAGGTACAATTAGCAGGAGCTAAGCAGAGGACCTGAGGGATCTTTGGGGAGAATACAAACTTAAAGGTTCAGATATCTAGGCCAAGGCAAGTCTATAGAGATCTTTAAATACATATGTTAAAAATCAATTCTCTGTTTCACAGGGAGCCAGTGAAGAGAGGCCTGGATGGGAGAAATATGTTTTCTCTTTTTGTTCCAATCAAAAGATGGACTGCTGCATTTTGGACTTTCTGTAAGTGTGAGATTGATGACTGTGTATGCTGCATTACAATAATCAAGCCTAGAAGAAATAAACATGAATAACATTCTTCAAGTATTTAAAAGAAATAAAGGACTTTAACTTTCTTAGTTGGTTTAGTTGGAAGAAGCTGGCCCTAACCAACCTTAGGGATTTCCATGTTTCATACCGATAACAACGCCCAGCTCCATCATCCCAACAAAGCAACCCATGTATCATCTACAATCTCAAATTTCTATGAACTTGAAAAGCAATCAGGTCCAAACCTAAGCCAAGTTAAAGTTTCCTCATGAAAAGATGTCAAAGCAAAGATCAAAGACCCACAATGCAAATTCAAAAGTAAAACACACTTAAATAGCAGTTCTGTTAAAATACACATTCACATAACAGATATTGTTTTACACTGCAGTATTACAGTAAATCAACTGAGTCCTTACCTGGAGGGTCTGGATTAACCTGCTTGTGTTGAAAGGCTTCTGCTCTTATACAGACACTGATCCTGATCTCCATCTGTCTTCATCATCATCATTATCATCCACCCTGCAACATGCATAAAACAGAAGCTTTCTAATCAAATTACCCACATGCTGTATGCTTACTATTCAGACCCCGCTTAATATTCAATGCATGTCAATTAGTCAAGATTTTCTCGGTGTACTGAGGTCTGTTAAACTTCAGATATTTCTTCTAATATCCCTTGTAAAATAAAAATCTAAGAATGAATATATTAATTTATAAGCAATAATTTTAAAATATAGTTTTTTAGTGTAGCTCTTAAAGGGATACTTCCATCAAAAATGAAAATTGTATCATCAGTAACGCACCCTTTAAGAGTTTCTTTTACTGAACACTAAAGAAGATGTTTTGAAAACAACTTGACACCTGTAACTATTAACTTCCATAGTATTTGTTTTTCTTAGCATGAAAGTTGATCATTGCAGATTTTTTACCTTTTAAAAAATATCCTCTGTAGTGTTCAACACACACAAAAAGAAACTCAGAAAATTTTCAAACATCTCGAGGGAGAAAATAGTGAGTAAAATGTTCATTTTTGGGTAAACTATCCCTTTAAGAGAATTTGATAAAAAAAACGTTAATGACTATTTACATAACATTTTATATGAAAGTCTTAAATGGCACATATTTTACTCCTTTTTCAAGATTTAAAATAAGTATTTTGTGTCTCCAAAATGTGTCTGTAAAGTTTCAGCTCAAAACACCCATCAGATTATTTATTAAACTTTTCGGAATATTGGATTTTTCTGCTTTAAAGGCACAGGCCACAGAAACAGCTCCCCACCAACCATTCCCATGTGCCTGTCAGAGTGTGCCTAAATCTCCACCTCGGCTGCGTCAGATAAACAGCACATTGACAGACATGAAAGAAGCATATATCATGTTACATTTGTAAGAAATACTACAGTAAAAACTTTCCCAATGATTATTTGATGTATTTGTTGTGGAGTTAATTCAAGTCTTTCTGCAAAAAGTCACACACAATATCGTTACACACACACACACACACACACACACACACACACACACACACACACACACACACACACACACACACACACACACACACACACACACACACACACACACACACACACACACACACACACAGGCGTTTAACTTTGTATGCAAATGTGACAGGATACACGTTAATATACACTGTTGTATGGATATCCTTTATGTTAATGTACAAAAAAAACTTGATTTAATGTCCACAAATCGAGACTGAAGTGTTATCTTTTATAATTGCACTGATATGCGGCTGTGGTGATAAAGTAAAGATGGTAAATTCACTGTAATTTATTACAAACATACACGAACATGTTTCAAAAACGTTTTAAGCTTGTAAAACTCATTCATGATGATGATTGATGATCACAGAAAGCCGAAAAGATCTTTTAATTCCAGTTGCTTTGCGCACATCCTGTTTTGTTGATATGATTATACGCATTACTATGGAGACATGTTAATACATGGCTGTCAATCAAATGGGTGGGTGGGGAAACCTCACTCTTACGTCACATTGCGTTGGGCCTCAAAATGGGAGGGATTTGAATCCTATTTTAACATCTGGAAATAAAAAAAAGTCTTTATATGACTGTGGATACACTATACTACACACAGTTCTGTCCAAACAGCTTACAAAAGATGATTTTCATCATAGGTGCCTGTTAATATCAGACATGTTTCCAAGGAGAATCAATTAACATGTTTTGCTGTCTAGAGGGCCAGATTTTTCTTTTCTACAGTAGCTTTTTGGGCCCAATCCAAAATCAATGTTTCAACTGTAGATAACTTTGGTATAACCAGACGTTTAATGTTACTTTCCTACAATAAATCCTGGATTTATTTAATACCTTTTTGGCGTTTCTAAGATACTCAGTGTCGAAACATATCCTATGCCATTTATGTACACTAATTAGCCTGTATTATCACATAACTTGGCAACAAATGAGCTTCATTTAGTCATCTGGCTTGGCAGATCACACACGTGATCTTTAATAAAGATACATGCTGCCAGTTCAGTCAATTTAACAAGCTCTCATCATATAAATCATCCAGGCCTTATCTTGTGTGTAAAGTTCACACAATTGAAAATGGAAAAGCAAGCAATTCTTTCCAGCTGAGTGATGCTTATTTTCAACATACATTTTTCGAATCTCTACAAACTTTACGAGCATCACAAATACAAGGTGTTTTCACAGTATCACACCTTAACCTCCTCAACGCCACAGCTTAAATGACGTTATTTTACTGTAAGGTTCACAGTACACCTGTGCAGAAGAATAGTGTGATTTTACAACTTCAATTGTTTGCGCATATCTTATAACCTCCTATAGAACCCTGCTGTTAATAATTGCTTCATCTTATCGCCTGTAATGTCCCAGTCAAGCTGTAACTGATTGGAAAACTGCTCACTGTTTCTGATTTACCTGAAAGTGTCAGTACTAGACACTGATTCAACACCAATGGGAAACTTTTTAAGCTTTAAAAAAACAAAAGCAAACCTCACTACAGTACCAGGAACTGAGGAGTCTGACATGACCTGCGATGATGAAACGGTATGTTATGTTAGTCATATTCTGGAAGTCTTCCGATCTTCACTAGTTCTTCTTGTGCTTTTGCAAGCTTATCAACCGGAGGCAAATGCTTTGACTAAGTTAGCATGACGTTTCCTACTGAATTCATTAAGCAACTCCAAGATTAGGAATAAAAAAAAAAGAAACATTCACTTCCTTTTACAATGTAACTCGATATGTCTTCTGGCCTTGAGGGATCATTAACCCAAGACGTGAATTCTTATCACTTATTGGCACACACAGGAGCTACATGGTTTCGTCCTCCTTTTGGCAAAGACTTCAGAGGACTTTTCAGGAGAACATCACGTCTGACCGGTGTGGCATCGGCTATATAACGGTCTAAAATCTCTCTCTTTTTTTTTAATCATGCCGGGCTCTGGAGGTCCAGTTGCGACGTTCTCCGTCTGGGACTATGTGGTGTTTGCTGGCTTGATTCTTGTTGCAGCAGGCATTGGTTTGTTTCAATCATTTCGTGGACGTAAGGAGGCAAGCAGTGATGAGTTTCTACTGGGGGGCCGTCAGATGACTGCGGTGCCTGTGGCTTTGTCTCTAACGGCTAGTTTTATGTCTGGCATCACTGTTATTGGCACTCCTGCCGAGGCGTACCTGTATGGCACACCATTCTGGCTCTTCTTCATCTCCTACGCCATCATGTCCACCATCAGTGCTGAGATCTTTGTGCCATTGTTCTACCGGCTGAACATCACCAGCACATATGAGGTGAGAGGGTTTGCATAAGGACAGAGAACACAAATAGACTGAAAAGACTCGCCATTTGTGCTTAATAAAGATCAATAAATAGAGTGAAATGAGGACAAGGGAGAGATAGGGGAATGGAAATCAAAGGGATGTAAAAGACAGGATCAATGTCAGGATGTCAAGGGGTAACATTGGGTTTTTGATGGTCCCTCAATGGATGTCCAAATGAATACTTTTGCAACAGTCTAATAGTACTACTACTAATACCAAATGAAAAAACAAAAAAAAAAATGCAATAAATTTCTCCTTTAGATATTTTGGGACTATATGTATACTTATTCTCCAAACCCTTACAAAACAGTCTAGTAATATGGTAGTTAACATGTATTTAAAGTTACTAATAGTTTACAAAATTACTAGCTTAACCTAGTTATTGACAAACAGATTTATCTTCTCTGGCATTGCACTATTGTTTTTGACATTTTAATAGCATTTTATTATATATTACTGTGCAAAAGCTATTAATGGTCAATGTCTGTGTGGAAATACCTAAAATATAAGTAAAATCAATTAGCATTAGGAAAAGTTAGAGATATTATAAATCATTATTCATTTCAACAACAGCGGATTTAATAGAACTTATTCTACTAACTCCAAGCCTAACCTAAAGGTCTGCAAATACTGTAATGAAAGGTACTTGTTATGTGCAATAGTTACTTATATAGTTGACAGAATGTCTAAAGTGTAACTTAGTACAATGCCAGAGGTGTTAAATCTGTTTGTCAGTAACTGTTTGGCAGTTTTAGAGTGTTAAATTGTAAATTCCAATGTGCAAAAGCCATTAAAGAGCTGTCTGTGTGGAAAAAAAGCACAATTAAAGCTAAAATAGTTAGAATATGAAGTGAATTTTAAAATAGTCCAGATAGTTATTGGCATGCAATTCTTACGATTAACCTATTAATCACTGTTAGTGGCGAAGCAGTGGCGCAGTAGGTAGTGCTGTCGGCTTCCAGCAAGAAGGTCGCTGGGTCCCTGGTTCGAGCCTTGACTCAGTTGGCATTTCTGTGTGGAGTTTGCATGTTCTCCCTGCGTTCGCGTGCTCCGATTTCCCCCACAGTCCAAAGACATGCGGTACAGGTGAATTGGGAAATTGTCCGTAGTGTGTGTGTGTGTGTGTGTGTGAATGTGTGTTGATGTTTCCCAGAGATGGGTTGCGGCTGGAAGGGCATCCACTGCGTAAAAACTAGCTGGATAAGTTGGCGGTTCATTCCGGTGTGGCGGCCCCGAATTAATAAAAGGACTAAGCCAACAAGAAAATTAATGAATGAATGAATGAACACTGTCAGTGTTAGCTTGGAAAACAGCATGTAATAATTGATCCCCTTTGTTATTCTGTTATCTATGAGTAATTTCACAAGTGCGTCTAGTTTCACAAGTGCGTCAAGTTACTAATACGGCAGATAAGTATTTTAATACTTATTAGTTGACTTATAGTTAAATAGTTACTTATATTCAAAGTTATCCTTTGACATTGTGCTGTATTTGGGGTTTTAATAGTGAGTGTTTTATTTAAGTGTTTTATTGTGGAATAGTGATAAATAAATAATAATAATAATTGAATTGAAATAGAAAATGGCGAGTATCTCAATAAACGCACTGAGTTCGAATCACACGTTATTCTTATGCTAAACTATCAAAACCACATTGATGTTAATCTGAAAAGAAACAGCACGTAATAGTTCATCCTACATGTGTGAGTTGTGTAATTGTGTGAATTATATGAAGTAAATGTGTCGTTACGTTTGCTAATGACAATAAATAAATCGAAATTGAAA